GAGATCCAGCTGAGCCAGGCTAATAGGCAGGCAGCAGAGGCTCAGAAGCAGCTCAAGGGAGTCCATACTCATCTGAAGGTAAGTCCTAAGTCCTAACAGTGATGGGACGTCTTTATGCATTGTTTTCTTTGACCTTTTAGTCACAGAAAGAATTTGATTTTCTCTTTTGACAGGACTCCCAGCTGCAGCTGGATGATGCTCTCCGTGCCAATGATGATCTGAAGGAGAACATTGCAATTGTGGAGAGACGTAACAACCTGCTGCAGGCTGAACTTGATGAGCTGAGGTCTCTGGTGGAGCAAACTGAGAGAGGTCGTAAACTGGCTGAGCAGGAACTGCTGGATGTCAGTGAGAGAGTTCAACTGCTGCACTCCCAGGTACGTAAACAGTTTTGTAATCATTGTATTATAGTTTGCCAGCGTACCCAAATAAGTTTATAATATTGCATACTAATGTTCCTTAACCCTCCCAACAGAACACCAGCCTACTGAACCAGAAGAAGAAGCTGGAGGGAGACTCCACTCAGTTTCAGAATGAGGTGGAGGAGGCTGTGCAGGAGTGCAGAAATGCTGAGGAGAAGGCCAAGAAGGCCATTACTGATGCTGCCATGATGGCGGAGGAGCTGAAGAAGGAGCAGGACACCAGTGCTCACCTGGAGCGTATGAAGAAAAACATGGAGCAAACCATCAAAGACCTGCAACATCGTCTGGATGAAGCTGAGCAAATAGCCATGAAAGGTGGAAAGAAGCAGGTCCAGAAACTGGAAGCCAGGGTAAGTGATACAGATTTGTTCAGATGTATATATGATGCTTGGACTCTGTGACACTGTGACATCGATTTCATAGGTGAGGGAACTGGAAGCTGAGGTGGAAGCTGAGCTAAAGAAGGGCAGTGACTCTGTGAAAGGAGTCCGTAAATATGAGAGGCGCATCAAGGAGCTTACCTATCAGGTATATTGTAATTATGTACTGTAATCTCCTTCGATCCATTCATGTTCCCTCTACCAGTATGTACTTGTACCAGTTGTGAATATAAGTGGATAACTCATTCTGTTTATTAACTCTGAAGACTGAGGAGGACCGGAAAAATCTGGCCCGTCTGCAGGACCTGGTAGACAAACTGCAGCTGAAGGTGAAATCTTACAAGAGAGCTGCAGAGGAGGCTGTAAGTACAGGTGTTTTCTGATATTACAGGTTGATGTCTTGCTGCCCAGTTCTTTAAATACTTAACCAAAATACATGATTTAATAGGAGGAACAAGCGAACAGTAATCTCACCAAGCTCCGTAAACTGTCACATGAGCTGGATGAGGCGGAGGAGAGGGCTGACATTGCTGAGTCACAGGTCAACAAGATGAGAGTCAAGAGCCGTGATGCTGGATCCAAGGTCAGTGATGCAGTTTCATACATTTGTGCTTTTTTCCTTTAACTTTGTAAAGTCGTACAGTTATGTAGTGATCAACACAGGATACACCCTGTACTGGAGTACAATGCACAATTCATCCATTGCATTTTTTTTCTTTGCATACACAAGAGCACTGTCAATGAAATGATGAAACACCTAATAATTGTCATTTATTGTCTTTCACACAGAAGGGACATGATGGAGAGTGAAGCTGTCAGCTGGAACTTTCAAAGACTTTGCATTAAACTGGTTTAAAACTCTAAGTAAGCAGAATAAAGAATTACTAAAGTCCAAATCTCCGCCTGGTGATCAGTCTTTTCCAGCAAAGCCTCCTGGTGTGTTTAGTGAAGCACTTATATGTGCAAAAATTTAATGTAGAACATTTAAAAAAAACAAAAACAACAAAAAACAAAACAAAAAAAACTAAGCTGCAATGATAGGGAGGCTGTGGCCTGTGTTTGTGGTGTAATCAAGTCAAATTCATCATTAGGCTGTCATGCAATGAGTGACGTCTGCCGACAGGTATGATGGGATGACTGACAGCTGCACGTCACGTCAGTGAGGAGAGAAACAGTGTTAGTAGTGGTATCATGGCATCAAAAAGGACATATCCCTCTGGTGCAGGAAAAAGATAAAAGAAAACTGAACAAGAAAAACGCCCACAGGAAAAGGTAAGGCATTTGTTAATGATGTAGATTCACTTGTGGGATGGAGGAGGTAGCTATAATGTTAGCCAATTTTCTTAGTGTGGCGAGCGGAGGGTCTCTTAATAAATTGAGCCGTTACACTTCTGCCTACACTTTCAAGGGTTTAGGGTAATAAGGTTAGATGGGCGTTACACCCTTACGAGCCCAACAGGTTGCCAGACAACGCCACTTTGGGAATTTCACCCAAAGAATTATTTACCTTTCATATATCACCATTAAGACACAAAGGTTCGGATACTCAAGAGGCAAGAGACGTGGTTCCAAGTTATTACAAAAAAGGTGCACTTTATTACAAAGATATTCGTTTAAAAATTACCATTCATATCAAAAAGGGGAAGGGAGCCTAATCAGGGGCTGAGGCCTACTGGTGGGAAAGGAGCTAGTGAGGGCAGGAGGACCCAACCAAAAGAAAATATAAAAAAGGTCACCAAAGCACACGTGGCAGTCACACACACACTTTGTGACATCACCCAAGTAGTGTTGCTTTCGTCAACGAAAATTATGACTAAATATCTTCGTCAACGAACTTTTATCACGTGACGAAGACAAGACGCAACGTAAATGCTGGTCATGTGACGATAACTATAATTAAATATATAATGCAATATTGTTGACGAATAAAAACAAGACTAAATGTGGTTTACAAAATAAAAACTGCTAAAATGTCTCTTCATTTTCGTTGACTAAAACGAGACGAAATGTTATAACGTCATTTCAACTCGTTTAGTCGAGTTATTATTTTGCAGTATTTCTGTTTCCTGTGTCTCACTTCATCAGGTCGCACTGCGCCGACGCATGCGACATCACTTCCTCAATCCCCACTCGCGGGGCGTGTGTCTAACAACCAGTTTTAAAATAACACATCCAGGAGGTTACAGTTTATATAGTTGCTGTTGAGACTGCTGGTTATTTGGTTCAGTAGTTGGCATAATTTAGTACTGTCTGTTTTCTGTCAATGAATTCCACTGTATGCAGTCAGTGCTTCCAGTGGCGGCTGCTGGTGTTATAAGGAGGGGAAGTTCATTTTCGGCCTACATCATAAAATGTGTCCGTTTATTTATATGTAAATTCGCAGAGTGACAGAAGAGAGTCGCCAAACACAACGCTAGTCGTTTTTAACAAAGACAAAGTCGCTGAGGATCAGTAACGTCTCCAGATCAACTCCGAACAACCGAATGAAAAACTTGAAAAATGCTCTGGTGGATACTTATACTTCAAGATCGCTGATTCGCTCATTTCGCTGTCAATCAAAAAGGGACTCAGCCTCAGACAGATCATCCAATCATCATGCAGAAGCCGAGCGTCCGGGCCAGCCCACTGCCCCATAGACCCCCAGAGACGCTGAGCGTCTGATGGGCGGGACAAAACCCAGCATTTATCCAATGACCGTCTAGTTTCGCTGCAGTGGAACAACCCACTCTATGCTTCCCCATTGAAGTCAGTAGACGCTCTGCGTCTACACTGTGTAAAGCACTGTGGCGCTGTGGGGATGAATGAGAAGGAAGTCGTGTCGGTTACCTGTGATAAGTAGCTGATTCTGAACAAAAGATGAACGTGTTCTAGTGCATATTTAGTCAATGAAATGTACACACAACAGTACATATTTGACCACTTATTTTGTTGACATTTTAGGGGAAGCTGAGCTTCCCTTGCAGTCTTAGAGCAATCGACACTGGTGCTTCCCATCCCATTATATCTCTCTAAGGTCGAAACCATTTGTAGTGTAATATCTTTTAATAGTTTTTATGATGCAAAATCTGTCTTCAGTTTACAAGCAATACAAGACAGACACACACATGTTATTTGCACTTTTTATTATATTATTGTAGCTCGAGCATTGAAGCACCTTGTTTCTCTTTGTTAAACTTGAATGTATTCAATTTTTTTTTGAATTGTCATGGGATGCTTTTTTATTTATTTATTTAATTTAAATTTATGGGGGTGAACTAACATGTTTGGTTGGTAAAATAAATATGTTGTAAATTCAAATCAGAGCGTCTTGTGTGTCTGGAATGGATGTATTCTTGAGTCTATAAGGTAACAATAATATAATAATAAGATAACCTTGTTTGAACTGTGAAATGGGTTTGGCTAAAAGAAAATTTTGGTTTTGTCTATACTACTAGGTACTTATACTATACTGGGTTAAATAGAATTGCATTACTAGAAAGAGACTAAAAGAAAATTTTCATTGACTAAAACTAGACTAAAATGTCATCAGTTTTCGTCGACTAAAACTAGACTAAAATAGTCATGGATGATTCTGACTAAAATAAGACTAAAATGCTCAGACTTTTAGTTGACTAAAAACCACCAGCCTGCAGGAACTGAGAAGGATAAACAAAAGAAGGGGGAGTTACACCAACGGAAATAGGTTAACCAAAATGTACAACCAATTATACAAACTACGGGAGTGGGCAAGTTACAATATAAAGCTAAACCCAACTGCCCACACAAAACAATTTATTATAACATAAAACAGAACAATAGCAATGTAAAGAAAACAAAAACAACAACAAATCTAAATTACACAGAAAAATACCAAATTAATCAAAGTCAGCTATTGAAATTAAATGGGCAATTAAAGTGGCTGAACCAAATAGATTAACAAAACAAAATACAAATTATCCAAAAATAAAGGGAGTACATGGAAACATGTACAGGGAGAGGGAGGGAGAGAGAAACCCACATGGCTACCGGCATCTACCTGTGACCACACTAGCATTAGCCACTGGATATCAGTCAGTATAACGCAGAGAGAGAGAGGACACTTACCACCGCAAAACAAGACTGGACATCATACTGGAGCACGGCGCACTCTGTTGCTGCTCAAATGCTTTAAGCTTGATGAGACCACATAACAGATGAAGTGAAGCAGCAGCGCATGGCATTACCTGTGAGGGCAAACACCTCAGACCCGGAAGTGATGTGTCAGGGGGGAGCGCAAAGGAAGACGGGGGGAGGACTGCCGCATTTATATCCAGCCGCCCCAATGATTAGTTTCCAGCTGTGCTCAATTAAATGCAGCAACAACGCAAAGAAAATAACAACATTTCTATGCTGCTACATTAGCAAGTTTGCTACTTTCGTCCTGCTGGCTAGCTCAGCCAGCCTCAGCTAAATTGATAAGTTGGTTAGCTTAGCTAGCTGGCTAGGATTGTTTGTATACAAATACACCCAGCTTTATACAGTGTGTGCCTTATGAAAGGGCTAAAATAAAACTGTCATTTGAATGGACTGTGCTGTAGGACTGATTGACTGAAGTGACACCTGTTGTGGTGGGATTATAGCAGGCTGCAGAGCATTTTGTTGCGGTAGCTCGTTAACATTACACTTTGGGAGGGAGGGTGTGTTGTTGGGCAAATGACTGCGATGTCTGCAATATCGTTGTCCAGTGGGTGTCGCCTCTCAGTCATAGACCTCCTGTGCTGTTAAATATGTGCCACAGTAACATTAATTTAGGATTGTTTGTATGATCATTGTATTAAGTTTAGTGTGTTGTCATTTTATAGACGTATGATGTGAAGTTTGCTTCATAAATAAACGTATTATTAGGCCTATCATCATTATTATTATTATTAGTAGTAGTAGTAGTAGTAGTTGTAGTAGTAGTATAGCAGAGGATTATTCATATAGCATTATGAATTTTGAATGATCAATGTGTTAAGAGAGATTGTTCTATTCTCTCTCCTATTGTATTTTGTATATGTATTTTGAAGTTAGTAGTATATCAAGTATGTAGTTACTTGACAACTCTGCTGACTAAGTTGCAGTCTTTGCCACATTTATTACAATATTTATTGTGACAATGTAGTTTGCTAATTTGAACAAACCTACCTCTATTCCTAGCATATAATTGAGTTTTTATATATGTATTTTTTATTCAAAAGAACCATAATAAACACAATTTAAAGTAAATTTAATTTATACTATACTGTATATGACTGCTAGTTCTGCCCTCAGTAAGAATACAAGGTAAAACCATATCAGTTAGATACAAGTTGTTCACTTTGTAATACCCTGCAAATATAGGTAAAAATATTCCCTCTATATCAGGGGTATTCAATTAAAATTCAAAGAGGTCCAGTTACAAAAATGTCCTCCCAGTGAAGGTCCGAAATCTTATATTGTCACTCGAAATAGTGTACCCTGATGTAAATAAAAAACAACAAATGTACTTTTCTATATCATTTATTGTCAAATTTCAAGTGTTTTCAATATACTTTAAACATACCGATAAGTCTGAACTTGTATGGCACTTGAATGGAAAACATTACTGTAGTTGTCTTTACTACACTTCAAGTAACTGAATTTCTTCTGAATAAAATAAATAGAAAAAGTGCAAACACAGCTTTGAGCAGCCTGAACTTAGGGTAATGTAAAAACATTCAGAATCTTTTGAATAAAATAAAAGTGCATCTTTAAGAAAAAATGTAAACAAAAGACCTTTGAGCTGCCCACCCCCTTTTTTAAACATATATTAATTACATTTAAAATAAAATAACACAGGAACCTTAATGCCTACATTTCAAGTAAAATAGCAGAACAGGGCAGAATTTACTGAATAAAAGAAAAGTGCAGAGCTTTGAGCAGCTCCCTTTCTCCTCTCTCTTCTCCTTCCTCCCTTTCCAACTTCCTTTCCTAGTGAGAGAAATGGGCATGTAACTTTCCTGCCAGCAGTTTGTCTTAAATGGGATTAGTGCCATTCTCATGCTCATGTGGAGATGCTCATTGCTAAGCCTGGAACGGTACTTTGTTTTAATAATGTTCATCGTAGAGAAAGCTGTCTCACAGCTGTAAGTTGATCCAAACATGGTTAAGGTGTGTAGTGCTACTTTGGTTAGACCAGGGAAAATGGTTTCAGGCACAATCTGTAACCAGAAAGTAGCAGAGTCAGTTGTTTCAAAATGCTCTCTCAGAGCAACATCTGCTTGCAGATCAGTGAGCTCTAACTGTAAAGATCCAGGATGTGCCCACTTGAAGGTCTGTGTCACCTCCTTTGAAAATCCTCTGATTTCTCTGATAAGGAATGGATTCTTGATTAGCAGGAGGAGCTGGTGTCCAAGGTTGAAGCTGTCAAATCGATGACAGAAGTTTCCAATCAGCTTGTCTATGAAGCTGACATAAGGGGAAATGTCTCTCTTACCCTGAATTTGTTCCTGCATTTGTGGGAAGTGCTCACACTCTCCTTGGAGATCTTCTTTGAAAATGTCCAGCTTCATCTGGAAGGAGTGGACAGTTTTCATCATATCACAGACAGAATTTTTCTGACCCTGCAGCTTTAAATTGAGCTTATTAAGGTGTCCTGTGATGTCCACCAAAAAAGCCACCACATCCATCTTGTTGTTATCTTGCAAAAAGTTTGCAAACTGTGTTGCTTTTTGTCTCTTGAGCTGCTGTAAGAAAGCAGCTATTTCCTTTTGGATGGACCAGAAGCATCCCAGTGCATTCCCTTTGCTTAGCCATCTCACGTTGTTGTGGAGTAGTAGGTCATTTGCATCTGCCTCCATTTCTTTCAGAAATTCTCTCAGCAGTCGATGCTGATGGGATGAGGATGCCCTGAGGAAGTTGATGAGTCTCATCATGGTATTCATTACTTCAGCAAACTCTTCAGACAGAATGGCACAGAGAACAGTCTGATGGATGATACAGTGGTAGGCTATGAGATCAGGGTTGTCTTGTTTCATCCGTGCCACAGCCCCCTTCTCTCTACCAACCATGGCAGGTGCACCATCCGTGGTGACTGAGACTACTTGCTTCAGATTAATCTTTCTTTTTGTGAGCATCTGCTTTATCCCCTCATATATATCCTCTCCTCTTGTGTGTGTCTCAAGTGGCATTAAACCCAACAGGTCCTCACACATCTCTTTCTTCTCTTTGTGAAGAAATCTCACATACACCAAAAGCTGGGCATTATCTGTTGCATCTGTGGACTCATCAATGGCTAAGGATATGCATACTGCGTTTTGAACAGCTGCATCAAGCTGTGCCAGCACATCCTCTGCTAATAGTTCAGATTTTCTGGTTGTTGTTGAAGCTGACAATGGGATTTGCTTGATTTTTTCACACGTCGTTTTTTTGTTTACCGTCAAGTAAAGTCTCTGCAGCCGCATTTAAGCACTCCTTCACCACTGTCCTATCGCTGAATGCTTTCTTGTGTTGCGCCAAAATCCACGCAATCTTAAGTGAACACTCATCTGCACGTTACTGGCCTGTAAATGCATGTGTGAAGACACGGGTAGACCGGTCATACTGTGCTTTCAGTTCGATCATTTTACTTGCCCTCACTGCGGACTTCTGCGGGTATGTTTCATCAAACGATCCGTGATTGGTCTCATAGTGATGATTAACGTTGCTACTTTTTATTAACGCCACAGTTTCACAGCATATGAGACACACAGGTTTAGAACTGGCTGCAGGCAGAACGAACATGTATTGGTCCGTCCATTCATCTTTAAAAGTTCAGTTTTCACTGTCTACTTTTTTCATTTTTGAGCAAGCCATTTTCACACATCTCTCTCTCTCTCTCTCTCTCTCTCTCTCTCTCTCTCTCCCCTCTCTCCTTCCTCTCTCTCTCTCTCTCTCTCTCTCTCTCTCTCTCTCTCTCTCTCTCTCTCTCTCTCTCTCTCTCTCTCTCTCTCTCTCTCTCTCTCTCTCTCTCTCTCTCGCTCTCTCTCTCTCTCTCTCTCTCTCTCTCTCTCTCTCTCTCCCTCCCTCCCCCTCCCTCCCTTCCCTTCCTCCCTCCGGTGTAGGTAAACAATCGATTTTATTGGCTTGGCTATTGATGACGTTTCTGTCGTATTAACTAAATTAGCTGCGCATGCACGAATGATTAATTTTTTTTATTAGGCCTAATATTATAATTATAATATAATTTTCACAGGTCCGGGCAGAACCGTCACTGGGTCCGTGCCCGGACCGCGGTCCGCCATTTGGTGATGCCTGCTCTATATCATATAGTGCTCATCACTAATTTACCATCGTTTTTATAACTTTAAAGAGTACAATGTGCAGATGAAAGCAGAAAAGGCCCGAAAGGGAAAACTTTGAAATTGGGTGCATTTTAAAGGGACACTGTATATTGCAATGTATAGTTTATATATATATATATATCTCAATTTTGCTTGGTATAGTCAAATTCCACTTTTAGACTTAAGCTAATGGGGAGCTGATTATAGGCTTGTAAGTGCTATACCAGTGCAAAATCCTTTTGAGATAAACACACTTTTTCAATTCAATAAACTTTTTGAAAATTTAAAAAAGGCACGTAACGAAAAAACACGAGAACACACAACCAGGGCGAGACAAACTGTGCAAAACAAAACCTGTAATATTATGAGAAAGACAGTAACAGTAACAACATGGGAAAATGACATCAGTGCAAATAAATAACTTTACACATAAACATTTTGATTAAAATTTGGATGTGTGACAGATTGTCCTAGTGCAATAAAGAGTTATGTTACATATTTACAGTATAGTGTGCATATGGAATGTGAGGTATATGAAAGTGGATAGGTACCGCAAAGTCCAATAGCAGCAGGATCAGGAAGTCATTGAGTGTGTGGGCAGCAGCAGTTGTCAGTGCAAATCTGTGTGTGTGAGTGTGAGGGGAGGAGGGCCAGCAGGGTGAGCAGAGGGACAGGGATGGTTGGGAGTTGAGGAGCTGAACAGCTTTGGGTACAAAGGTTTCCCTTCTCCTCTGTGTCCTACAGCCCAGGCAGCTAAGCTGGCGTCCTGAGGGGAACCACTTAAGTGCAAGGAACAGAGTGTGTGAGTGAGCCTGAAGAATCCTGCCTGTTGTTATTAGCGTTTGCTGTTCACAAAAGGTGGACAGGGCTCTGACAACCGGCGATACGGGGGGGGTTCATGGACGACCTAATGATAACCACAACATCCTATGTGCAGGCAAGATGGGTCTTAACCAAGCTTAGAGAGATGGTAAGGTGGGTTAGAATGACATTGAAGCCAAGAAAATCAAGCATGATTATCAGGAAAGGGAATATCACTGACCAGTACAATCTGCTCATCCAAGGTGAGGCCATCCCATCAATCAAGAACAATCCCATCAAATACCTGGGAAAGTGGTACAATGAGTCACTAAGGGATAGTAAAAATTTCCACAGCACTGAGATGCAAGTAGGGGGCTGGTTGAAGAAAATTGGAGAAAAAAAAAAAAAAAAAAAAAAAATTAGGCCTCCCGGAAAAGTTCAAAGCGTGGCTATACCAACACAGCCTGCTGCCCAGACTGTAACGGATGTTTGTAGGACCCAGTTGCAGCACCACACACCGATCGGTAATGACCTTTAATTATGAGCAAGCAGAGATAATGTACACAGGTAGGTATTAGGGGTAGAGGAAGGGGTCCGGGGCTGGAGAGCTGTGGGAGCGAAGTGACTGAGCTCACACACACAGGGGAAAGTTCATGGACCCGAAGGCTGGGGCTGGCAGAGCCATGCGTTAGGGAGCAGGCTAGAGATGTCGTCAAGGGAGCAGGAGGATCAGAACCAGGTGAGCAGACAGAGGGGCAGACGAACCAGGAAGGAGCATGCAGGCGGGTAATCAAAGCCAGACGAAGGATCAGGAAACCAGCAGGGAGGCACTCACGTTGTGACGTCGAAGCTGGAGAACACCAAACAGCCACAGGCACAGGCAGAACTCGTGGTTGGGGACAGAAGGCTGAGGCATTTACTGGGGCAGAGATGAGGCAGGACGGTCAGGGACGAGCAGAGTCGATAACGAGAAGTCAGTCCAGAGATGAACGCTGGACAGTCTTGCATGGATACTAACAACAATCTGGCAAAGAGTGAGTGAACCGGGGATGCATATATAATGGCTTGATTGGAGATGCAGCTGGGGGCAACAGGTGAGGACAGTGAGGCTGATGAGGAGGTGTGGCAGAGTGGAGAGTGAGACAGAGGCAGGGTGAGTGGAAAAACACTGAGAAGCAGAGCAGGTTGTGACACAGACTGATGTGGCCGATGATGATGTATGAAGCCCCACTTACAGCAGTGGAAGGAGTGGAGCATAAGTGCCTCTGAAGATGGCTGGGAATCCCTCCAAGCTTTACATTGGTTGGGCTGTAAATCAGATCTGGGCAACTGCAACTACCCCTTTCCTCTCTGGTTGAAGAGTTCCGAGTAGCAAAGTACCAGATTGCCATGACCTTCAGGGACTCAAGAGACAACAAGGTCAGAGAAGCAGGGATAAAAACAAGATCGAGACGAAAGTGAGAGGCTTCAGCAACATTGGCCCAAGCAGAAAGAAACCACAAACTCAGTGACATCATTGGGATCGCTCTGGCTCAGGGCAGATACAGGTGGCGCCACAACAAAGTACTGACTGTGCTCGCTGACATTCCAGAGCAGGAGATAACCAGGAAACGTCAATTCCAACGCAAGACGCCACCTGCAATAACATTTGTCAAGGGAGGAGCAAAGCCAGCAGCGCCCAATAAAACCAGGGTGAGCCTCCTGCAGTTAGCGTGGGGTATTACAATATTCTGGGCCCTCATACCGCCCCAAGTTGTGGCGGTATGAGGGCCCAGAATATTGTAATACCAGTTCAATTATATAAAAAAAAATAAAAAAAGGAAACCAACAACGCCACCCTGGGAATTGCACCCAGGGAACTGTAAATTAATATGACTATAAGGAGGAGGCACACAGGTAAGTCATACAAAGAAGGGCAGGAGACGTGGTTCACAGTAGCAAAAAAATAATTAACACGTTTATTATAGGTTGGTCACACAAAGAAAGGGTATTTCAAAACAAAGCTAATAATTAATACCCTACTCCAATAGCTGAAGCTGACCAACGGTGGAGGAAAATGTAGAGGGAGGGGGTCCAAACGAAAGAAAAGGGCACCCCACTCTCACGTGACACGCATACAAAAGTGAAGTGCGAAACAACCAAATCCAAAATCACGGCACACAAAAGGGGAACCACCACCCAGGACACCGCCACCACCGTCGGCTCTCAGCAACTATGGAGGAAACGGAAATACAAATATTGAGAATTCAACACAAAGCACAATAACACAAACCCCTTATAAAAAAAAACGTAAACTAACAATTGTCCAAAAGAAACAAACCAAACAAATTAACAGTCTAGGGCTGAAACTCCAAACAAGAAGTAAATAACGAAGAAGAAAAGAAATTAACCAATCCTTCAATTGAAATAAAACTAAATGATAAAATGACCAACCCATTAGCTCAACAATAACATTCTTAGAAATTGATCTTCATAAACATTCATAAAAAAAACATACGCGATCCCGTCTAACCCCTGCACACGCTCACTCATCCACACAGCCAGTCAATAAAATGACCATTCGTCTCTTCTCAAATCAACACAAACGCCGCCGCACACACGCACACACGCCACAACACCACACACACACACAAACACACCAGTACTGACGGAGCAACTCCCACTAAGTCCGCCTCCCAGAGGGGGAAACGGGCACGGAGGACCGGGGGGAGCGAGCGGCAACCGGCAGGAAAAGGCCGTCACCTAACAGCAGTAGCAGAGGCAGCAAGCGAAGCAAAAGCAAGCGAAGCAGGAAAGACGCCACACCCGGCAGTTACTTTGAACGGGGCAGTGTCAGCGCATTCGTTTATTTGCAATAAGAGTTCTCCACTCAAAGTTATCCATTTAAACAAATATTTATTTGCTATTTAAAGAATCAAAATCAGCATGTACATGGATCTCCTCTGATCTGAAAACCACAGTCTGCAAGCAGTAGCTGTGGCCAACGTCCCAGAGAAGAGTGTCTATCTTAGCAGTTACACAGAGTTTTGTATGTATTTTTGTAACTATTTGAATTGGTGAAAAGGTTGGGGAGAAACCATGGTTTAGACTCAGCTCCCCTTCGTTTGGTGCACAGGCTGGTCCCAGCCTCTTGGCACAGTGCCTCCTTCATCTGAGCTGTCCTCACCTAGAGAAAAAAACCTACTCTCCCTTTTCCTGTAACCGCCTCTTCACCCTGTTAGGAGTTGTTTCTTACTTTAAACATCTGAGGCGGTCACCTGTCATCCGTTCTTCTGGTGTCTCCCTATGTGTGCGTGACTGCCTTGAGTCTCACCCTAGCGCTCCCCAACGCATAGGAACAGTAATCATCATAATACTAAAGAACAAATAATAAACAAATAATAAACAACACTCTCTTAATAATGCAACATACATTTTAATATTTCTCACAGCAGCAAAGCCAGTCCACAGCGCCCAGCACCACCGATTGCGGGCCGGCAAAGCAGCCAGTGTTCCTGCACCTTACTTGAAATCCACCGTTAACCACAATCCCGAACAGCAGGAACCCTCCCGAGGAGGATAGCGACAGGAGAGCTCTGCTCCGCTCTGTACTGGACCGGAGCGTTCTGCGGTGCGTTCGGGATCCGCTTGTCCGTTAATGTTTATAAGCGAACAGGGAGAATCGCCACCGTTCCTCAACCACCAGGGACCACCGACTCGAGAGCAGAGGAAGAAGCGGAAGGCCGGGAAGGGGAGGGCTTCGGACCAGGAAGTGAGAGGACGAGAGAGGGACACGGCTGCCTTTTATCCCCTCGCCCTCTTGCCTTGATAGGCTACAGCGCCAGGTAAAGTGCGGGGCGGCAGACAAATACAATCAAGCCCAGCAGCATACCATACTGCTACAATCGGATTAACTCAGAGTGAACCAAGTTCTCTTCAGAATCAAGCTGCTACGACACAAAGCTAGCTGATTTTCCAAGCAACAGGAGTCATAGCAGAGTTAGCGTGAACAGCTAACTCTGTGAGGAGAACAAAGGAGATAACAGCAAAGCAACACAGCCAGACAGACTTTACTCCACCAGGAAGCCTCCCAACTCACTGGACTTTACAACAACACTGGAAAGGACCTCTTTGTTTGTTCCAAGGACTGGGTAACGTTAACTGACTGGGCCTAACCTTTCCCAGCACAGCATAGCACAGCACAGCATAGTTAAGCAGCAGAATCTTAACTTTGTTAATGTACTTGTTGATTGATGTCTTGTTGTTGTAATGTTTGCTTAGGTTGTGGTCAGTCATACAGTTAATCAGGTACTCGTATGTTCACACACATAGCAGTACGTCTCAGTTCTAGAACCTGCATGAAGCTAAACCACCCCCCTCTAACCTGGTACCATTAGATTACATGAGCTAGGCTAACAAAGAAAACTCACAACCTTCCCTCCACAACCACACACACCAGGTGGTCTCAGCAGCCACTTTGAGTAGTTTCTTTGTTTTACCGCCATCTTGTGTAGTGTTCTTTGTTCAGGTCATGTGGTCACAGTGATTACTTTGAATCAGCCATCTTGCCTTTGGTTTGTGTTCCCACAGACACACACACATACCCCTACACACACACATACACACACCTGTATATACTAGATTAGACATTGTGTTTTACTCTGCTCCATTGTAAATAAATGCCTTTAAGTATAACTACTGGTGTGTTTGATGTTGCACAAGCGTGAATATTGCCAACCTCTACTTTGCAGAATTCCAATCCTTCAACTTTAACTTACTGTTGATATGGTAATTTGGTTATAGTTAGTAAACTCTAATTGTTTATCAGAGTTCCAGATTAATGGTAATAAATTGAGACTGAAAACATATTGGCTATTTTGCCTATTAGTTTAGGCTGGTGCCCCGAGGACTTTAATTAATTTTAAAGTTATTATTTAATATTAATGTTTTTAATATTAATATTTTCTTAATTTATGATAGCCAATAAATTGATAGACAACCGAAATCCAACATATTTGGTGTCCAGCTAATGAGGTAGAGCTTAGACCCAACATCTACTAAAAAGGGTCTCCTTTTCCTTAGCAAACTGAACATAAGTTTGCTTGTCGGGCCTACTGAGGCTCCTGAAGCGTTGGCGGTAATAGCTCATAACGAAAGTCATAAAAGTCATAATCCTTGCTTCCCTCAGTGCTTTCTGGACCTTTCCATCCAGAACACTTCCAAAAGTAGGCCACATGTTCAAAATTAGGGAAGTACTTTTCAACATCTTTCACTACAAAAGGAGGAACCAATCTCATATGTCCAACTGCATCAAACTTAAATTCCAGTCCTTAAGGTATTGCTCATGTTCTAAATGCATTTACTTCTCTTTTAGTCGTCACTCACATACTCATTCAGAAGCTTGTTAATAAAACTCTGCTTCCCACACGCACTCAGTCTGCTCTCCTCCGGTCCTGTGAAAGCCATGATTAGTTAGCTAACAGTCCACGTGTGGCTAATGGTGTTTGTGCTAATTTAGCAACATTACTCAACTTTTCGTCTCCAACATGGCTCGCTCTCCCGTTTTAGCAGGCTACACAGTCTTACAATCACACCAGATTTTAACTTGGACAAAATACAGTAATATAACCGAATACAATGAACCTATAAACAGCTACCTACTGCCTTTGGCAGTCCACTGCAAATACCTTAACATGGGGTCCCCTTCCACCTTTTGGATACCAAAAACACATCCATGACGGGCCAAAGGGGTGTCCTAAAAATCACAGACGGGGTCCTATACATTTTACGCCGGATGCATCTTGCATCTCCAAGGTAAAAATACAGGAATTTTTGCTGTTTCCATGCAAGTCGTCCATCCGACATGAGGTAGTTCATTTCTGAGGTATTGCCAGTGGACGAAATGAACCCAAGTACAGCGATCGGACTGAAATCTGAAAATGAACAGTTGACAAAATGATCAAGTTGTCTTTGTATATTTAAATAAGAGCTTTGCAAAGGATCAGAGTGCAATTGCAGACTGATATCAAACAAAGAGTGTGCATGAACTTCATAGAAAGAAAGAAAGAAGGAGGCATAGTCAGGATGTGTGTGTGTAAACAATTCTGGGTGCCATCCTGACTTACTAACTGCTGGAAGAAGCAGATGTGTTTTCAAGGATAAACTTCTCCCTAGTTTGTACTGGACAGTACCAGATAAGGAGCATACATGTGGGAACAGATTCACATTCATGGATATACAAAGCCAGGTCACACAAGGATATGATTTTTCTATTACATTTCCTCCTTTTTGATCATACTTGATCACTATTAAAGGAAAAATCATCAAAGATTATATTTTCATAATAAGTGAATATTCTTACATATGATAACATAATAAAAAACTATAACAGTGATAAAAAAAACATCTGTAATGTTACCTCAATTATGATTTAAAACTACTTCATTAAAGTATCACTATGGAGAAAAAGGTGGAAAAAGGCAATACATTGAGGTTCACTCAGCAAGTCACCCAGTTGGAGCTTGGCACGCTCTTGTTTGACAGTATGCCAATACTGTCGCTTCTACTTCTCTTCCTGGTCTGTGAGTGTGTGTTATTGTGCTGTGTTGGTCACTTGAGAGCAGTGATCCGCCTACACTTTCGCAGAGTCCTCAATCGGGCTGTGGTGACTTACTCTGTTGTAAGTGTCTCTGGTGGAGGTGGGACTCTATTGCAGTGGCTGGCATGGATCCAGGGGACTCTTTAGGCGACTTTTATTGCTGTCTGTGTGGTCAGCAGCACCTGGAATGAGCCCGTCCACTGGTTAGAGCGCCAAGTCTTTCTTCTCAGATCTCTTACCACTAACCAGTCACCAAGCTTCAGGTCATGAAGAGGTCCTGTGGCTGGAGTTGGTAGTGCGTCTTTCACCTGGTTGAGAATGTTGGATAGAACAGAGGATAAATTTGCACAGTAATGAAGCATTTCATCTTCACAGTGAACTGTGGAGGGTAATTGTCTTTTAACAGGTCCAATGCCTGTGTTGGCTGGTTGTCCAAATAGGATTTCAAATGGCCTAAGGCCGTATTTTGGTCAGACCCTAGCTCTCATTTACATAAAAACAATAGGGAGTGCTTTCGTCCATGACAAACCTGTTTCTTCACAACATTTAGCCAATTTGTTTTTAAGGGTGCCATTTTCTCGCTCAACAGCACCACCAGCTGGATGATAAGCACAGTGTTGTCTCATATCAATGCCAAAATATTCACAAACTTGTTTTAAAGCAGCACTCACAAATGGTGTTCTGTTATCACTGCTGATTCTTCGGGGAATTCCCCATCTGGGAATAATCTCAGTGATAAGGGCTTTGGTAACAGCATTCGTATCTTATTTTGCTGTAGGGAAAACTTAAATCCATTTTGAATACATGTCAACAATTACCAGGCAATATATATATTCTTTCCCTCACTTGGTGTTAGTTCAATGAAATCCATCTGTACGTGATCGGTACAGCTGGATGGAATGGTTTTTCTGGTGGAGGGGGTGCGGCTTGTGGTGTTTCAATACCTCTGCCAATGTTGTTTGTGGCACAGATAACACATGATTGACAACATTTCTGAGCATAGTTAGTAAAACCCTTTGTGAACCAGTGTTGTGAAACAGCATCCATCACCCCTCCTTTTGACACATGGTCCAATCCACGAGTCAACTTTGCATAGTGAGGAAACAAATACTTTGGCAGACATGGTTTGTCATTGGGGCTGTACCGTACCCCATCTTTGAAAAGACCACCACTCTTTTTCCACACATCCTTCTCAGTCTGATCAGGTCTCCACTGGAGCTCATGTAAGTCTGCTGTGGGAGTAGAGTATGTGTCAGAGTCATCATGTAGAAAAAATTCAGAGCCAGTAAATTCTTGTCATGCTGCGGCCTTGGCAGCTGCATCTGCTCTGGCGTTACCTTGTGAAACCGGGTCAGTGTTAGAAGTGTGAGCTTCAAATTTACACACAACAATCTGTTTTGGGACTAGAATAGCGTCCAGCAGCTGTGACACGAGAGTGTGGTGTGCAATAGGTTTACCAGATGATGTTAAAAAGTTTGTGTTTCCAAATTTTGCAAAAATCATGCACAATGCCAAAACCGTATCTACTATCTGTGTAGATATTCACTGTTTTGTCCTTTGCTAGTTTACACGCTTCTATGAGAGAATCCAATGTGATTCTTTCCTGTGTCAAGGTCGTGTGACGCTGATCCAGCCACAAACAGTGCAAAGTCTGGATTTTGCAAAGGTGTTGCTTGCAAATCTGGTCTGGGGGAACAAACTTCAGTTATTGCAGCAACACAGTTGTGTTCTCCATCTCCTTCTGTGGGGAGAAGAGTTATAGGGTTAAGAACATTGCATCTTTTCACAGTGATATTTGGCATTTCAAGCAAAATAGTGTTATAACAGAGCCATTTCCTGCTGAAAGATGAGATGTTTTCTGTTCAAGTACAATCAATGAAACAGCATGTGGAACGAGCAGAGACAGGTCAGAGTAACTTACAATGTCTCTGTAGGTCATCACAGCTTTCTCTGCAGCTGCAACAGCTCTCAGACATCAGTCCTGTAGCTACAGGGTCAAGTTTAGCTGAAAAATAGGCTACAGGCTTGTCTGCCTCCATGGTCCTGGAGTAGCACTGAGTGGCCCCCACGGCCACCTCTGAACCCGCCCCTGCCACGGCCACATCCGTGCCCTCTGGCATGTGCTTGGAACAAAGTCAATGTAGCCATTTGCAGATCTTTCTCTCTTTTTTCTCCTTTCCTCTTCTGGCCCTATTTGAGAATTTTTTCAGCATACACAGCGTTTGCCTTGACTTGCCTGAGTCCCAAGTAATGCATGTACGTTTCACCATGCTGGAAATCTCTGGCTTCTGTGCATTCAGGAAGCTGTTTCTCAGATGAGCTTCCCATGCTGTAACAACATTATCATTTGGGTAAGCTGGAGGTGTCAGCCCACTGTGTGTGTTGTGGACTTCTGTGAGACTTCTGTGAGACGAGTGAGATAGTCGTGAACATCATCGTCTTCTTGTTTACATAAGGACACATGTCCATTCTCACAGGGAATGCTGTTTCGATGCGCTCACAGAGATCTGCAATGTCTCCTCTGTAGACTGTGTTGTCATTGTGAGCCCAGCTGGGGTTATCCAGTCTCACCTCAGTCTCTGGATATCCTGCTGGTACTTTGGCCCAATTATTGCCCATTTTTACCATCAGGAGTCGTTTCAGTTCAGAGGTTGTTGGGCGGAACTCTCTACAGAACGCAGTCAGTTCAGCGTCAAATTTCACACCACCTCCATCTGATGGTGATGGGAGGTGAGTCACTGCCTGTTTAATGTCCTCCATAGTCCATGGTCTTGAAATAGCATTGGATGTCCATCAGCACCTGCTACCTCCAACATGGGGAAATTCACGACCTGGTGTAGGTTGCCCTCTGCGTCACATCTCACTTTTCCCCATCCAAAAGTTGTTGTATGTATCAGGATAGAGGAGGGGAACAGGGGATGGGGGAAAGCCAGGGTTATATGGCGGTGGTGCCCTCGGCTGTGGATCAGCCACCTGATGAGCCTGGATTCGGGCTGCAGGTTCATCATGTTGTTGTGGTGGGTTTTGGTGTCTTCTTGGCGGAGCACAGTTGAGGTTGGAATCCTGCATTTTGACACACTGAGACACAGATGAGATTTTATCTGTCCCTGCCTGTGTTTTTATGTCCCACCTTAGTGCTTCTTCCATCCATAAACTAAATGATTTCCAGTCTACTATGAATTTACTCTTGTCTTTTTTATTCTCAGTCTCTTTTTCCTTCTCCTGCAGTTTTTCCTTCAGCAGATTTAGCTGTCTGATACTGAAACTTCTTGTCCTCGGAAAACCACATTCAGTAACCCAAATTTTTATTTGTTTCACAGATGAATCACCATAATTCACTTTCATGTAATTTATGTTTGGAGTGGAGAGATCCACATTATCATGTTTATCTTTTGTTCAATATTTACTGTTGATAATACCCATTTTGATAGATTAAAAATTTAGTAGGAGATTTAAGTTATGTCTTCAACTAATCTCCAAAGTACACCGTTAAGAATATCAGAAAACTAATCAATGTTAGTATGCCCAAAATAATATGACCAATTTTTTTTTCTTTTTCTTTAAATACTCAAGATGATTAAAAACAGAGTGATTAGAACAGAGGAATTATCTACTTTTCCTTCACACAATATAATTATTATTCAGTAATCATTTTTTCCATACACTGTTGTGGTCTTAGTAAACTCTGAGTCTCACTTCACACAATATAGTACTGTGGTCTTAGTAAATGCTTCTGGGTCTACTTCACACAATATACCAGTACTGTGGTCTTAGTAAACTCTTTTAAGGTGGACTCGTCAGTGCACCTCGAGAATTCTACTAAACCTTGGTTAAAAACTGTCCAGGTTTTACCTCAACCTTGGACTAGTAGACCAAAATCTCTCTCTTATTTCACCCTTTATATTTTTACCATCTCCAGTATCCTGATATTTTTTTTTTCTTTTTCCATTTTTTTTTCTCTTTTTCAGAAAACAATTGTCAGATTCTCACCAGTTACACCTATCTCTACAAGTATTCTACCTATCACAATAAATCCACGACTATTTGCTACTTACTGGTCTTGTGTTCTGCTTTTGGGTCCAACAGAAAACCGAACCATAACAGAACAATCTAGCTAGTATGGACCCAGCAGACATGGACCTCCGTCAGGCTCTTGCTACCAGGGTGCTCTTGTGGGCCAGCATGAATTAATATCAGTGCATATCAGTGTTTCCCAGCTCTGCAGTCAGATGGACATTACCACTCACCTCAATGATGCGTTGCCTGCGGCTCCAGCTGCTGCTGCTCTAACTCCTCCACCCAATGTTCCTCCAACTGTTCCTGTTCAACTTCCCCATGAGGCATATGTTCCAACGCCAGAGCACTACGCAGGAGATTTGGGGTCCTGTTGTCACTTTCTCCTCCAGTGTTCGTTAGTGTTTGAGCAGCAACCTACAACATATGCCACAGATAAGTCATGTGTTGCCTACATGATTCAGTTATTAACTGGCATTGCCTCCCAGTGGGCCTCAGCTTTATGGGAAAATGATTCTCCAGTCTGTGATTCTTATGATAGCTTTGTGTCAGAAATGAAAAAAGTTTTTGATCATCCTGTTTGGGGCAAAGAAGCTGCTAAACAGCTCCTAACTCTGTGTCAGGGCTCACAGTCAGTGGCAGAATATGCTGTCCAGTTCAGAATTCTGTCAGCTGAGTGTAGGTGGAATGATGAATCACTGCAGGGAGTTTTTCTAAACGGCTTAAATGATAACATTAAGGATGAGCTAGCTGCCAGAGATGAAACTGATTGTTTGGATGCCTTAATTTCTCTGTCTATCTGGCTGGATAACTGTCTTAGGGAGTGCTGTAGGGAGAAGTCAAGCCGCCCTGCACCTACGACCTCCCAGAGTCTGCCACGCCAGTTTTCTCGGTTCAGCCCACAGCTGATGGCCACTCCCGAGGCACCTCGCAGCAGCTCTCCCCCTGATTCTGGAGGTGAGCCCATGGAATTGGGTCAAGCACATCTGACTCCTTCCGAGCGCCAGCGCCGCATGAATGCTGGTGTTTGTATCTATTGTGGTCAAGCAGGTCATTTTCTTGTCTCCTGTCCGCACTGGCCAAAAGGGGAGGCTCATCAGTAACAGTGGGGGGTCTGATGAGCCAAACTGCTGACTCTGCCATTAACAGCCCTACTCGTATGCATTTCAATGCCTCTCTAGTGTGGAGCCAGGAAACTATCCCTGTTCTAGCCCTTGTTGATTCTGGTGCAGATGAAAATTTAATTGATTCTTCTTTTGTCTCTCAAGCCAACAAAAAACAGGGTGCTACATATGCACTGAGGCTCTCTCCACACCACTGAATGCCAATGCCTTGGATGGCCACCGAACCGCCCCCATTACCCTCATTCTGTCAGGTAACCACAGGGAGGCCATTGAGCTCCATGTGATTTTCTCTCACAACATGGAGGAGCATGTCAGGTTAGTTCTCCGTCGCCTACTTGAAAACAAGCTGTATGTAAAAGCTGAAAAGTACGAATTCCATGTCTCATCTTGTAGTTTCCTCGGTTATGTCATTGAGCAGGGGCAGGTAAAGACGGACCCGGCCAAGATCTAGGCAGTGGCAGAATGGCCAAGACCCACCACGGGGAAGCAGCTCCAGTGCTTTCTCGGATTTGCCAACTTTTACCGGCTGTTTATCCGGGACTACAGCAGAGTGGCAGCTCATCTAACCCTGCTCACCTCCACGACAACTCCTTATGTTTGGACCCCTGATGCAGAAGCCGCTTTCAACCACCTCAAACAGCTCTTCTGCACCTGTGCTGTCTCATCCTGACACCACAAGGCAGTTTATTGTTGAGGTTGACGCATCAGACTCTGGCATGGGGGCTGTTCTGTCTCAGAGGTCTCCTAAAGGCCAAAAGTTGCATCCCTGCTTTTTCTCCCGTCTACTCTCCCCAGCAGAACGCAATTATGATGTGGGAAATCGTGAGCTTCTGGCTGTGGTGTTAGCCCTGGAAGAGTGGAGACACTGGCTGGAGGGGGCTGAGCATCCATTTGTCATGTGGACTCACAAAAATCTTTCCTACCTCCGTTCTGCTAAGCAGCTGAACTCACCCAATGGGCTCTTTTCCTTTGCAGATTTAACTCCACTCTTACCTACTGACCAGGTTCCCGTAATCTCAAGCCAGACGGGCTCTCCCGGCAGTCAGATCCTGAGAAGATCACTGCTAAAACTGCTAAAACTTCTGCCTGCTTTGTCTGTATCCAAAGTAAATCATCCCACTGTCCACCTACTGGTGGTCTCTGCCCACTGCCTATCTCCAGTCGCCCTTGGTCCCTATCGCCGTGGATTTTGTAACCAGACTTCCATCCTCCAAAGGTAACACCATGATACCTACTGTTGTCGATCGCTTGGCAGTGCACTTCATTCCTCTCCCTAAATTACCTTCAGCCACTGAGACTGCAGATTTACTTGTGTCACATGTGTTTTGCCTCCACTGGATCCCTCTTGATGTTGTGTCTGACAGAGGTTGACAGTTTTCCTCTCAAGTGTGGAAGGCGTTCTGCCGTGCCCTGGGTGCCACAGCCAGCCTGTCATCCGGTTACCACCCCCAGACCAATGGCCAAACGGAGCGGGCCAACCAGGATTTGGAAGCAGCCCTCCGTTGTCTCACATCCGTCCTCCTGGAGCTCCTACCTCCCGTAGATTGAGTACACCCACAACTCCCTCACAAGTACAGTTACAGGTATGACCTCATTCTATGCATCCCTGGGCTATCAACCTCCCTTATTTCCTACTCAGGAGAAGGAAGTGGCAGCACTGTCTGTTCAGCATCATCTTCAAAGGTGCCATCAGATTTAGAAGACCGCTAAAGCAGACCTGGTCCGCACTGCTGCCCAGAACCGGCACGTGGCCGACCGTCACCAGACCCCTGCACCCGACTACCAACCTGGTCAGAAAGTATGGCTTTCCTCTTCAGATCTGCCTTTCCAAGTCTCCTCCCATAAATTGGCACCTTGTTATGTCGGACCTTTTGAGATTGAGAAGATAATTAATCCCACTGTTGTGAAACTCAAATTGCCACAGTCCATGAAGATCCACTCAGCTTTTCATGTGTCTCCTCTCAAGCCTGTCTCCTCTCAAG